GCCGTGCTAAATTGTCCCATAGTGCCCAGGGATGTGCAGGTTAGGGTGGATTGGCCGTGCTAAATTGTCCCAAAGTGCCGAGGGATGTGCAGGTTAGGGTGGGTTGACTGTGGGAAATGCAGGGTTACAGGGATAGGGTAAGCTGTGGGTCTGGGTGGGATGCTCCTCAGAGGGGCAGTGTGGACTCGGTAGGCTGAATGGCCTGCTTCCACACTGTCGGGATTCTATGGTAAGTCCTTCATCCCAGAAATATTTTGAGTGAGACTTCTCTGAACTGCTAAAGCAATTATATCCTTTCTCAAATACTGAGACAAAAACTGCACACAGAGCTCCAGAGGTGGTCTCACCAAGGACCCCTCCAGCTCCTTGTCATTTGCACTCCATTCCCCTTGCAATAAACCCAGTCTTCTGTTGTATCACCTCTGACCCTTGTCAATTGGACAGTTGTCAGTCTGAACTCCTCGCAATTATCTGCTTTCTAAGGCCATTAGACCATAAGAAACAGGAACAGGCGTAGACCATTCAGCCCCTCGAACATGCTCAGCCATTCAGCAAGATCATGGCTGGTCCCAACACTCCTCACGCCCACTTTCCTGCCCTTTCCCCGTAACCGTTGATTCCCCAAATGATCAAGAATCTATCTCAGCCTTAAATATTCACAAGGACTCTGCCCCCCACAGATCTCTGGAGTTCCAAAGACTCATAACTCTCTCAGAGGAGAAATGTCTCCTCACCTAAGTTTTAAATTAGTGCCCCTTTATTCTGAGTCATACTGTGTGGTCCTAGACCCTCCCAAGAGGAGGAAACATCCCCTCAGCATTGACCCTGTCAACACCCTTAAGAAATTTCTATGTTTCAATGAGATCACCTCTCAACCTTCGAAACTCCAGGGAGTGCTGAAGTTAGGGTGACCTGGAGTGTCGTATCAGTTGCTGGAATTTGGGCAGTTGATATTCTCCACACAAGCCTAAGTCTACAGGTCTCCCCGTCTCTCTCTCTCTCTCTCTTAGACCCCTTCCTTGTACCCAAACAAGCATTAGCCTCCACCACAAGGTTAACTGGCAAAGCAGAGGCTGTTGTTAGAGGTGATATTGCCTAAGGTTGATAAGGTGGTGGGCTGTTACAATTGCACTGTTGTTGTGCTGTAGCTGGGATCCACTGATGTTCTTTCTCTGGTCCTCAGCTCGATCACATCATTTCCGATCTCTCCGTGAAGGACATTGTGATGCTGGGGCAGACCTGCCGCTATCTACATGAGTTCTGCAGTAACGAGGCCGTTTGGAAACGCATCAGCAGAAAGTTATCACCACAGCTCAGCGAGGAAACAGGCGAGGGCACCTTCTGGAAACGAGCCTCCATCCTCAACTGTTAGTACACAGCACGATCCCATACCCTGCAGCTGTCCACACCCGCAAAGGCCACCCAGTTCAGCAGGGGGCCATTCAGCCCCCTCCTCGAGTCTATGTAACAGGACCAGGAGGAGGCGATTCAGCCCCCTCAATGAACTCTGTAACAAACGATCAGGAGGAGGCTATTTGGCCCTCATTGAGTCTGCTACACAGGACCAGATTCAGCTCCTCACTGAACCTGTTACAAAGGAACAGGAGGAGGCCATTCAGCCCGTCAAACCTGCCCTGCTGTTCCAGTGGCTAATGGTGAATCCGTGTTTGAACCAAATGTTCCCTTAAATTTGTCTGGGAGTGGGCTCAGCAGGGAGAAATGAGCTGGAGTGGTCCCTTTAAGGTGCAAACACAGCCATGGCAGCAAACATAGAGGGACCACGTAGGGCATGGACTGGGCTCTGCATTTCACTGAGAAATGACCGGAAACATTCTGTAACTCTTAATGCCCGCACTCCACAAATTTCAATCAATGAAGTCCCCAACTCCAGCCTCAACAGCCGTTTGTTTGAGGGGGAGATGGTTACCTGTACCCTGAGGAAATGCTTAACATTCTGCCCCTTATCGACGCCCCCCCCGACTCCAGAGGAACTAGATTCGCCCAATGGATGCTATCAAATCCTTCAATCATCATAGAATCCCAACAGTGTGGAAACAGGCCATTTGGCCCATCGAATCCATACTGACCCTCCAAAGAGCATCCCACCCAGACCCACCCCTCTAACCTATCCCTGTAACCCTGCATTCCCCGCAGCTAACCTGCACATCCCTGGATGCTATGGGACAATTTAGCATGGCCAATCCACCCTAACCTGCACATCCCTGGACACTATGGGACAATTTCCCACGGCCAATCCACCCTAACCTGCACATCCCTGGACACTATGGAACAATTTAGCACGGCCAATCCACCCTAACCTGCACATCCCTGGGCACTATGGGACAATTTAGCACGGTCAACCCACCCTAACCTGCACATCCCTGGACACTATGGGACAATTTAGCACAGCCAATCCATCCTAACCTGTACATCCCTGGACACTATGGGACAATTTCCCATGCCTAATCCACCCTAACCTGCACATTTTTGGGACTATGGGAGGAAACCAGGGGAGGCAATGGCCAAGTGGCATTATCACTGGACCATAATCCAGAGAACCAGATAACGTTCTGGGGACCCAGGTTCAAATCCCGCCACGGCAGATGGTGGAATTTGAATTCAGTAAAAACATCTGGAATTAAGAATCAAATGATGACCATGAATCCATTGTTGATTGTCAGGAAAAACCCATCTGGTTTACTCATGTCCTTTAGGGAAGGAAACTGCCATCCTTACCTGGTCTGGCCTACATGTGACTCCAGACCCACAGCAATGTGGGTGACTCATAACTGCCCTCTGGGCAATTAGGGATGGGCAATAAATGCTGCCTGGACAGCGACACCCTTATCCCCTTAATGAATAAAAGAACCTGGAGGAATCCCACGCAGACATGGAGGAGAACGTGCAAACTCCATACAGTCACTGGGGGTGGAATCGAACATGGGTCTGTGCTAACCACTGAGCCACCGTGCCACCCCTCAAATTAATCCCTTGAGTCAATCGCTCTGCCCAAACTCGAGGAGGTGTGAGTGGAGCCGTACTGTAGAGGGTGGGTTACTCTGCCCCTTCCCCCCACCCTCTTTGGTAGCAGAGCCCCTAGCGGACTCAGTAGATCAGTTGTTGTGATGCTGGTGGACTGGTTCCCTTTAGCTTACACACACCCTGCTTCTGTCCAACTCGAACAGATACCAAGGGCCTGTATTTCCAAACGTTCGGGGGTCGCAGGAAGACGGTGAGCCGCACTGTTGCGCCCCATCTGTCGCACGGATACCGCAAGTTCATCCCAACCAAAGATAACGTCTTCATCCTGGACTACACAGGGACCCTCTTCTTCCTGAAGAATGCCCTGGTCTCATCTACGCTCGGTCAGATCCAATGGAAACGGGCTTGTCGTTATGTCGTCCTGTGCCGCAATGTTAAGGATGTACGTGGGACATTTCCCTGGCTCCGGACTTGGGGGAGTGGAGGGAAGGAACGTCGCAGGAGAGCCCCAAAGCCCTGCTCTCCACCCTGTCCCTGATCAGCTCAACAGGGCATGGGCTGGGGGCTGGGGGGTGCGTGGTGAGCAAGGCCTCTGGGGCTTTAGTGTTTCCAATTTCACAGGGCCCACACCAGGGAATGTCAGTAAAGGCAGCAGGGATAAGGAACTGCCTTAGATCAGGCTGGTTAGAAAGACCCCTCTCCAAATTCCCACTCAGTATAGAGGAGCTTTACTCTGTGTCTAACCCCGTGCTGTCCCTGTCCGGGGAGTGTTTGATGGGGGACGGTGTAAAGGGAGCTTTACTCTGTATCTAACCCTGTGCTGTCCCTGTCCGGGGAGTGTTTGATGGGGGACAGTGTAGAGGAGCTTTACTCTGTATCTAATCCCGTGCTGTCCCTGTCCGGGGAGTGTTTGATGGGGGACAGTGTAGAGGGAGCTTTACTCTGTATCTAAC